TGAATGACATATAAGCTTGTTATGCTTCCACGTTCATGTATTAATGTATATAGTTGGTTGGAATGAGGGCAATGGAAATTTTATTAATATTGGTGTTTTCTAGAGACCTTCAGTTCTGTCTGCATATTAGCTTCCTTTCAATGTGTAATTCTACGAGAACTATAGTTGGACATCTGTAAAAACATTTCTGCTTTTGGGGAAGGGGTGCAGGTTTCACAGGTATCCACTTACATTGCAGGTTGAAGGGATTTTATTCATATGTATATTTGTAACAATAAAAATGATTTTACAACTGAAATTGAGCTCCTCGTTTTTACAGCACTGGTTTTGGTCTGAGAGGTTCTGCTCGTTGAATGATAGCATAGTGTCAGATAGAGCAAGCGTGCAGTTCAGACAAAAACAGTGTCCTCCTTTTCTCCTTGTGGTGAAAAGTCTGCTCCTCTGGCTTGGCTCCACACAGCATCACCCAAAAATCATACTGCACATCTGAGAGCATTGCCCAGATGCTTTTCTTATGCCAGAGCATCTCTAAAGTAAGGCAGGAGGCTGTAGAAAACAGGTCCTAAAGCCTGGGTTTTCAAACCCAAGTGCCATGGGTTTCACATTGGTTTGAAATTCTGCATCTAAAACCATTTAGACAAAAGTAGTCATTTAGACACACGTACATTCTTTGTTTATTAAACATCAATGAGGAAAAAACACAAATGGCAGAGGAGAATTTGAGACTATATTCGAAAAGGCAAACAACCGAGCCTGCTTCAGTTGTTACTCACAAAGTGAATGAGACTATTTTGCAAGAGTAGTCAAGAAGGGTTGCCTGATCTGCTGGCTTTGTGAATTTAAGAAAACTTACTGAACAGCAAGGTTTGTGGTATTAATAAAAATCATAATGAGAGTCTCACTTCCAGCTGCTGAGTACTTCTCCCATTGGAACTCGCTGTCTTGTTCATCAGCCATACAGACCACCTGCCCTATGCTGAGGGCAAAGCCCTGGCAGCCCCCAGCTCACCCACCTGGCTGGGAGGCAAGGCCTGGAAGGAGACTGGCAACAGCACCTGCACTGGGATCTGCATCTCCTCCATCCCTTCTTGGGCAAAGAGCAGGAAGAAGCTCTCTCAGATAGGGCTGCCATGGTCTCTCCTGCTCCTCAGGGTGGTTTTCATGCCTTGCCACTGAATATTGCCAGTACCATATGCGGCTGGGGAAGGACTGTGGCTGTGTGAACTCAAACAGCCCTACGTGTTGCCATTAGGACTGTTTCCCCCGCCCTGCTAAAGCAGTCTAGATGATGGTCCTTGAGTGTTTTGAAGTATTCCCTGACAAGCAGTAACAACAGTAAATATCTGCTTCTTGCCATGAAAACAGCAATCATGTTTCATTCCCCCCCTCTCCAGCAGCAGCTGAGCCAGTCTGAGACAATCAGGGATTAATGCGGCCCATCCACCATAGCCTTGTCCTGCTCTGCACTGGAATTCACCATCAGTACTGACTGCTGCTGCATATGGTACACTGCTTAACAGATGGATGCGGGGATGGATGTGCTCTGTTGCATTGTCTCATGCTCCAATCCATGCTCTGAGGCTAGAGGTGCACAGTTTGTCCTCATGGGGCTGTGAAAGGGGATGGGAGCAGCGCCAGCTTTGGCTGGGGCTCTTGGGTTGACACCTGCTGGTACCTGACACCCGCTGGGAATTCCCCAGTGTTGTCTGTGCACTGAAGGGCCCAAAACCAGCATCTAAATTGGGTGAAGAAATGCAAAAGGGAGGTCTCATGGTGATCTGCAAGGCAGTACTGGTGAAGGGGCCCAGAAGGCAGGTGGGCAAGAAATTCCTGTAGATACAGTGATGCTTCAGGTTGAATATTAGGAAATATTTCCTCTCTGACAGAGCGGCAAGGCAGTGGCACAGGCTGCCCAGGGAGGTGGTGGGATCACCGTCCATGGAGATGTTCTGTGTGGATGTGGCACTGAGGGATGTGGGCGGTGGGCATGGTGGGGTGTGTTGGTGGTTGGACTAGATGGTCTGAGAGGTCTCTTCCAGCCTTAATGATTCTGTTCTACTGGGAGGCCTTTCCTTTGGGAAATCTCTTCTTAGGTTCTCTTTCCTCTGCTCAGGGACTTGAAAATCTCATGGGGAGAGCTGTCTCCCGAACTTCCTTTTTGGCAGTGAGAAATGGTGGCTGTCCCTCACATATTAACCACTCTCCATAGTGGAAAGTGGTCAGAGTGGTGATGCCTCTCAGCCCAGGGGGCCACACAGACAAGGCTGGGGGGGAAAAAAAAGCATAGTCTTGATGGGAATCCTCATGGCAGCACCCAGCATGACACATCAACATGGGATCCACAGACAAAGGTGAGGATGGAAGGTGGCATTAGTGCTGGAAGATGGGGTTTGGGATCTGCCCTAATAAGCAGCTTGTAGTCTGCTGAGGATGTGGCTGGAAGAGATAAGTGCCTGCTTCTTTTCTTCATGAGACAGCGTTATCTCTGCACTGATTTCCATGCAAATGGGGGGGATTCACCGACTCTGTCATTTCAGCTTTGTCTCCCCTTCAGCCTGTCTTTCATCTGCTCCTCCGCATCCCCCCTCGCTGTGATGCTCACAGACCCTTCGCTGAGTGCAGTGCTCAGTGCCCACCCCACTCACCACACAGCTCACTGGCACTGTCCCCTCCCTGTTCCCAGAATTTGCCTATAGCTGAAATGCTGGGATCGATGCTTGCGTTCTTCAGGAGCCTCGTGAATTCATGAAGGAAACGATTTTACTGGGAAATAGCATTTATACTATTTTAAGCCTGTTTTATACACCCAGGTTCACACGGAAAACAAAACGGGACATTTCTTATTCTTTGATGTGTAATTGCCGTAATCTGAAAATAAACCAATAAAAGAAACATCTGAACTAATGGTCTGCCATCTGCGAGGCTTAATGGAAAACATCATCCTGTCAAATATTATTAGATTAAAGCCGTTTCTGAACTTAAAAAAAAAAAAAAAAAAATAGTAATAATGGAATAGTGATGTGTTTTTCAAAATACGAAACTTTAAAACTCTATAATGCTATGAACAAAAAGAATTCAATTGTCTTTTTTGTTTTCTTTCCATTTTCAGCTTTCCAAAACAAGGGCTTGAGATCTCCTACCTCATGCATTCCTGCACAGCGCAAAGCTTCAGCTGATGGCTGAAGCTCATCAGGGGCATTCCCCACTACTGAAAATACCACCTTCCTTTAATCCCTATCTATCTCCATACAGCAGAGCGATGCCTGCATTGGCCATGAGCTGCACACATGGAGGTCACGTTCCTCTTGCTCTCTGATACTCATAGCAATGGATCCAGAGTTCAGTGAGCTCCCCAAGTTCATTGTACCCCACACAGTGCACTGTCAAGCCAGTATAGCTCACTTTGAGCTCTGTTTTCTAATTCCTGTTTTGCTGAGTAACTTAAGGCATCTGGAGGAGCCTAAAGCCATGTTTGCCATGCATTTCATCTTTAATGGAGTGTAACTAATATTGCTTTGTTAAACTGATAATGCTGTGGACTGTTTCTGTGCTGTCTGTATTGAGAAGGACCCAACAATGTGTCAGAAGGACATTTGAGTACTTGCTCATGCTATTAAGGGAACAAAATTTATATTTCTCATGCTTAGTTGTCATCTAAGCCCATTGCAGTGTCCCTCCAGTATCTATGGGGTATGCTGGGGGTAGGCTTTGGGGGGAGCAAACGCATGTGGAGCCAATGCATGTGGAGCAGGAGATCATGACCTCTGCTTCTTTTTCCCCTTTGTATCTGACAGACCTCCCAGTGTCTTTCCAGCAGAGGTGAAGATGGTTGCACTGAAGCTCATCAGTCATCAAGTCCAGCTCCCGTCTCCACACAGGACCACCCAAAACTCAAACCCTATGTCTGATAGCGGTGTCCAAACACTCCTTGAAACTCCATCCCTTGGGACCGTGCCCACTGCCCTGGGTAGCCTGTTCCATGCCCACTGCCCTCTGGTGAAGGAGTTAAGGAGGTCCCAGTGCTTTTGTACTCTCAAAGATTGGATTGTGCAGCCTTGACCCTGACCTGCTCTCAGCAAAATGCAACTTTTAGTTGATTTGTGTTGTTTGTTTGTTTGTTTGTTTTCAGATCAAATAGAAACCTGCTTGGTGTGAACACTGAATGCTCATTTAGTACCTTTTCTACTCTGCTTCTGAGAGCCTTTTGAAAAGCAAGGAGCATTTGCATAAAATCAAGATCTATATATTGAACTAAAATCAGCCTGGAAAAATCTCTTAACCACGTCTCTCAGGGCCACTTCTACCTGTTTCCTGAACTGTTCCAGGGACAGTGCCACCTCCTGAACAGTCTGCACCAGTGCCTCACCACTACCTCCCCTTCTCCAGAATGAAAAGCCCCAGCTCCCTCAGCTGTTCCCCATAGAACTTGTGACCCAGTCCCCTCACAACTTTGCTGCCTTTCTCTGGACACACTCTGGGGCCTCAGTGCTCTTCTAGTAGAAAGGAGCCCAAGCAGGCAGTGCAGCCCCAAGTGTGCCCATGCAGGGTACGAACACCAACTTTGTTGTATTGGCACTCAGACCCCTGGCGTCACCATTCTTTTTGCTTTGTACTGCGGTGAGGTTGTAGTGCTCTGTCCCAGCACGGAAACCCTCTCCGTAGTAGGCATGGAGGAGCGGGAGGGTCACAAATTTTACCAAACTTTTTTTTCCCCTAAACAGCACTCGTCTGAATTTTCAAGTCTATCCCAAGCGCTGCCCCCCTCCTTGGGCAGCCCCTCCTGCCGACGCCCACGCACCGACGCTGTGGCGCGGCAGCAGGGGGTGAGAAGGGGCCACTCGGGGCTCTCGGCCTCCCCCCGCGCCCCACGGGGCCGCCCCCGGGGCGGGGCCGCCGTTCTCAAAGCCGCCGGCGGCGCGGCGGGCGGGCGGCAGTGCTTGCGCGGGGTCTGCGCGGCTTTTGCGCGGGGCAGCGCGGGCCGTGCCGTCGGCTGCAGGACCATGGAGAGCGGCGCGGCGCGGCGTCTGGACGCGGCCGCCTTCCTGGGCGCCTGGCGCCGCTTCGACGCCGACGGCAAGTGGGAGCGGGGGGCGGGGGGCGCGGGGAGAGCGCTGCCCGGTGGGAGCATGTGCGGGTGGGTTCTCCGTGAGTGCGGACGGGGTTCTGCGGGTGTTTCGGCACTTTCTTCTTTCTCCCCGTCGTTCCCAAACTTTGAGTCTGAAATGCCTTTCCCATTCCTTGAGTTCCCCCTGCCCACCGCCCTACATAGCAAATAGCAGTAAGGGTGTTTGCATTATGGGCTGCCAGAGCAGGTGGGCAGGGCCCCTGCAGTAACGCCCATCCTTGATGTCCTGCTTGCGTTTAGACAACGGCTACATCGAAGGGAAGGAGCTTGACAACTTTTTCCATCATCTGCTGGAGAAACTGAGGCCAGATGTAAGTACCTCTGTACACAGAGTCCTACTTAAAAGGTTGTTATGGTGGAAATATTTGTATTTATTGCTTCCCTATCAGTGCCTGATGGCAGAGCTCTTAGCAACCAGGTGTGTGAGGCAGGTGTGGCAACAAGTGTGATTGCACCAGCTGCTCCAACATTTGGTGCCAATCTGACATCTGCTGTTGCTTGTGAGATCATTAATTTGAAATAACGCTTGGGAGAATATTTCTTGGGAGAATGTTACTGAAAGTGGCCCTGTAAGAGTTGATGGTGTTGTTCATAAGGTCAACACACAGCTCTTGAGTTTCTAGTTTTCTCCCCTGGTTTTCACTCTGCGGCCCACAGCCAGCTGGTGAAGAGGAAAGGAAGAAGCATCTTCCATAGGGAAAGAAAGGATGTGCCAAAAAAAAAAAACAAAAAGCAAACAGGTGAAACAATTCCCTTAACCAAAGAGTGATCAGTAAAAGGGGAAGGATGGTTAATAAAAAGTATAAATGCATGAGCATCACATGCAAAATCAAAGTTGCAGTCATGAAGTGATTAGGATCCTTGGATCTCTGGGAGAACCATAAAAAACATTCTGTAAATCACTTTTTCAAGTAAGTTTTTGATTATTTTGCAAGTAAATTTGAAATGAAATATTGGCAATTTCTGTCAAAATGTTTCCCTGGAGCATGGATGGTTACATGAAGAGCTAAGCACATAAGAGCAGTTTAAAGAAAATCAAGTAAGATTCCAACATAAGCATCAAGAATCACTAGGGACACAGAAAGGCTGCTCTGGAGAGAAATGGGCAAATAATGATAGGGAAGTGGGGTATAGTTTTAAAGCAAAATGAGAGATTTAGGTTAGATGTTAGGCAGCAATTCTTTACTTGGAGTGCAGTGAGGTGCTGGCACAGCTGCCCAGAGAAGCTGTGGTGCCACATCCCTGGAGGCGCTCAAGGCCAGGTTGGATGGGCAGCTGAGCTGCTGGGGGGCAGTTCCAATCCGCCCTGCCCATGGCGGGGGGGTTGGAACTGGGTGATCTTCAAGGTCCCTTCCAACCCATGCCATTCTGTGATTCTATGAAAAGCGGAAAGCTTGTACTGCATTTGGACAGGAATGTCAGACTGTGGGCAGAGGTGCAGAGAAATCTCCATCCCTGCTCAATTCCACAGCCACTCTTCTCTTGCCCATCCCATGTGGGATTTTGCAGCAGCCTCACCCCAGCTGGATGCAAAGACGGCACCTTAGAGCAGTTTTTGTAGCCCTGTTACTATCAGCATGAACTTGTTATACTGTGCTAGGTGTCGGTGCATGGATATCCACAGCATGGGGCTACACTCTTAACAACATGTCCTGAACTTATATACACAGTTCTTAATAAAACTGTGCCACCAACTTCCAATATAAGCCACGCTCGGATAACTCCAGCCCAAACCAGCACACTCAAACCTTGCACCTTGCTTGTTTCTTCTGTCTGGGTTTGCCCATAAAGGGTAAAATCTTAACACAACAGGACTGAAGAAACAATCAGCCCTTGGAGACTGGCAGCACCGGAGCAGCCTGCTCCCTGTGTGTGAGACCACCTGCAGTGCTGGGCAGAGCAAAATTCCCTGTCCTATTTATACAGAGCGTCCGTGCAACAGTTCAGGTGGGGTGAAGGTACTCTTTGCAGTGCTTTTCACCCTGCACAGCAGGATAATGGCATTTGTGATGCAAGAAGGGAGCTGGCACTGAGCACCGCTGGCTCCAGTTCTCCCTTTGACACTTGTTTCTTCTCTGGGCTCCTGACATGTCTGTACAACAATGTGTGCTGGCGGGACTTCCAGATGTGTCTCAAGAATTAATTAGTGGCTGCGTCTGAAGTGCTCGACGAGTGATAAATAACGCTATCAGCCCTGGAAGTTGTCTCTGAATAGCAAATGGTCTCATAATTACATTTTTCCAGCCTGCACTCCCTAAGCTGTTATTTCAGTTAATGACCACTGTAGTCCTTCAGCTCTGTTTTTCTTTCCAGCAGCTCAGCAGCATCCCCAGCTGACTCTGAATGCCAGGGGATGGGATGGGAGCAGCTGGGCAAACAAAGCACAGCGGGGCTACTGCAAACTGGGAGTCAGATTTCATAGGGATGGAAACGTGGAACGCCATCCAGTGGGGGACGCTGAGGCAATGCCTCTGCAGGGAAACGGCAGGGGAAGGGATAACGTTGAGGTAGATCTGAGTTGTGCCAATGCTTTTCAACTTTATTATAAACGGACCCAGATCCCAGGTGCTGCTTTCTGACTCTCGTCCCCCAGCAAAGGGCAGTTCTAAGAAAACGAGTTTGTTTTTCAGGGATGCCTTGCATATACAGAAGGCTTCAGTGAAATACAGTGGATTTATGATGCTGGTGGGCTGCGGTTGCTGTCACTTCCCCATCAGCTGCAGGGACTTCTGTGAAGAAATGGGCTGATAGTATGGTGTATATGGGGCAGCACCAGGGCAATTCAGCCCAACACCACACAATGTTGTGAGTTGCTGCCATCCTACATCTTCAGTGGTTATCACTGCCATGACTTCTCTCCGACCACTGTGCTCTTATTTGTTCATAAACTTCTTTCTTTTACATTATGAACATCTTTCCATCTGTAAACCTGTTACGCTGCAGTGAAAATTTAGGTTTCTTTCAACACTGAATTTGTTTTCTTGGAGCAGAAAATACTGCCTCTCTATTCCTCTCTTGCATCGCTATATACCTTTCTTCAGACAGGCTATTTGGGATCTTCCTTGCTCGCTCTTTACTTTTAGCGAAGCTCTATCTATATTCTGGTAGTAATTAAACAAGAAGAGGTTTCTAAATGAAAAGCTGTAAAGTCTGGATTGGTTTTTCACTGAAAATTTCTGCAAAATCAGTGATATCTGTGCAGAGACGAAAGGAATTGTACATTACCATTGCTCTTGCAGCATTCTTTTACAGAAAGACATTTCACTTAGTTTAAATTCAAGTAAAAATAGGCAGAGATTTGGGAACAGCAGCCATTCTGACGAAAGTTTGTTGCCCTCCCCCAGCTGTATGTGTGTCAGAGGCCATGTGTGAAAATCTTTGAAGTGCAAATGTGTTTGGGTAAGACAGGTATTAGCTTCGCTGCAATCCCCCCTCCCTCAAACCACCTGGGTGGTTATGGCTGGAGGGACTGCAGTTAATCTCCAGGAGCTCAGCTGAAAAGCCGTAAAGGATTTGCCTTTGATTTCTGCTTCCAAGGAAGATGAGCTACCTCTCTCTTGCATTCCAGCCTTGCCTCACGCAGTGTGCTGTCTGTCTAAATTATGTCTTTAGCTTGATGGTCAGACAATATGGTCAGGAATGCAACAGGTAGGTGCTCAAAGTTCAGTCACCAAAGTGTTGGCCAAAGCAGGCTGCCGCTGTGCTGTACCACTGTGCTGCACCACCCACCCAAGAGAGCCAGGGCTGCAGGCCAGGTCCCTGGTGACCAGTGGGAGCAGAAAGACTCCTAGCAAAAAGCATTTGTCTTTCATCCTGCTCCAGGCTACATCAGAAATCTCAACCCTGAGTCAATTCTGCTAATTGCCCAAATGCATTCATTTCTGTAGGTGTGGCTTTTGTCAGCCCTGGTTATCCTGACCCACTCCCTTTCCAGTAGCTGATCGTTAAGGCAGAGCACTGCAAGCGCTGGTAGTGCCTATAATGGGAAGCTCAACACACCTACAGGCAAAAGGGGCATGTTTTCATTGCCCAAAGGCATGTCAAAAACCACTCAGCCTCGTGGAAGGGCAGAACAAAGAAGGCACCCAAAGCCTAACCACAGTAACATGATGGCATGGGGAAGGGCTACAATGGCCTTAGTTCAGCACTGGTGTCCTCTGTGTGAAAAAAAGTATTTCCCACATATGTGCTGGTGAGAGCTAAAACAAACTAAATGATTTTAAAAGCAAGGGATGACTGTATAGGGGTTTGTTTACTGTAGTGTACAAGACTGTGGTAAACCCAAACCAAAGCACGGAGCCAAACCCTCCAGCAGCAGCTCTGCAGTTCAGTGGGCAGGGCTGGCCAAGGAGCTGCTGGGAAAGCCCATGTCTGTGTGGGCACAGTGGCCCCATGGGCAGCATGGATGGAAGGAAAGTATTCTTTGAGGTACATTTTAATGCTACCAGATTTAAAGAACAAATATTTGGCCAAAAAAAAAGTTCACCTTGTGAAATTGAAGTGTGTGTTTCTGGTGTCATCTGGTCTTTGGTGCTCTCCCTTTGTCACTGTCTGGCTTTTGGCATGGTACTAATTGTCAGGCATTCTTGGCAGATGTAATTTGTTTTCATTGATCTTGTAGGAACTCAATATCTCTAAGACCTTTCTCACTTACTTCTATCAAACTGGGCTGAAACACTGTTAAGAGAAAAGTGTGTTCAAGCCGGCGTTTTCAGATACGCTTCATTTTGTTTTCAAGAAACAGGCTATAACAGTCACATTTCTTCTTGCTCATTACACCATTATCAATATGGTGTCTGGATCCCAAAAATCACATCAAGGAGGAGAAAATAATCAATGTATGGCAAGGCTGCTTTGCTCAGCAGGGATGAAATGAGACTTTCACTTTCATCAGGTGGTGAAGTCTCTGCAGTGCTCCATACATTTGCTTTTTTTTCCCCTGAAACAGATGACTCCTAGCTGTATTTTCATCAAGAAAAGCTGCTGCCTAGCACATGGATCCCCGAAGGAGCAAAAATTTAATCAGAAATAGTGGGGCAAGATTACAGCAGTGTGTAAGGAATAGGTTAATGAAGAAGGCAGATTACAGACGGGTTTCCAAGAACTCATAACCAACCATGACCAAGACATTAAATACTGCATAGATTAGAAAAACCAAACATGCTCTTTCCTTTATTACAATCAGGATTAAAAACCAAATTACCTTTGTGATGGAAAATATTTCTAACAGGTTTCCACAAAAGCAAAGATGAATACTGGACTTGGAAAGGAGAAAGCAGAAAATTCATTCGTTACAGCAACTTGAATTACAGAAGCTTTTCTCTGCAAAACTCTGTGGAAGAGCATCCATAGTAAGAAATTTACTGCTTGACCCTGAGATACCTATGAGCAAAGTCACAGCACCTCCAGAAAATTATGGGGGTGTATGCAGAGGGAAAATCAGGAACTACAGCTTGCATCCTGTGAAAAGTCTCTCCACAAATGCAACAGCATTTGCTTGAATTTTCACATTTTATCTTACTGCTAAAAAGTTTGCAAGATCTTAGTCCAAGCAGTGAACACTTCTGAAGGAGGGAGGGAGGCTTAAAATGGAGTTGCTGCTTGAGACACACAGTGTGGTCCAGGAAAGGTCCGTGCTCAGTGACAGCACAGCTGCTTCTCAGAGCAGAATGGTGTGCTCATGGCTGGATTCTTTCCTTATACATAACCTTATAATCCTTAGAGGACTGAATAAATAGAGTATGAGCCTGAAGCATGTGCAACTAGAATGTGTTTGGCTGGCTCGCTGGCTGACAGGCAGGCAGGAAGGAAGGAAGGAAGGAAGGAAGGAAGGAAGGAAGGAAGGAAGGAAGGGGGATAATTTTGCCTTGAATGTGTATCTTGGGAAAACTAGTTTGTGCAGCATCTTTTACGACACTTTCTCTCTTTGAAGGTAAAATTTCTTAGCAGTTGTCACTAGCTTTTGTGTTTCATAAGTGATATGTTTATGTACAGAGATAGACTGTCCAATAAGAAAACTCTAGTGTGACCCCTTGGAGCTGCTTTTATACATTCCAGCTTTATGGATTTCACTTACTATATCCCATAGCTTGAATCAGTTAAAGAATCACAGAATCACAGAATGGCCAGGGTTGGAAGGGACCTCAAGGATCATGAATCTCCAACCTCCCTGCCACATGCAGGGCAAGAAGAAAAGAAGAAAACAAGGCAGTCTTATTCTCTTGCAGAGTGCTATGTTTCTGACAATGCAAGGTCAAATGAAGTAGTGGTTAAAAGCTGACACAAAGTTGAGCATTTAACAAATGACTAGTTGGACCTCTGCAGCACATTTTCCCAAATATTAGCTCTGATTATAGTTTCAGAAATAACTTGACCTAATAGGCCTGGAGGAGGATAATTTCAGAGTACTTTGCAAGTCTGTTGAAGTCAGCAACTGGTAGGTTTGCCTAATGCCTGCGAGGCATCTGGTAGTGTCAAGGTACGGTCAGAAGGCAATTTAACTGGCATAAGAGCAAGTGATAATGTTGAGGGGATGGTCCTCAGGGGGGGGCACCTGCCCTGCTGTGCTGCACCTCAAGGATGCACCCAGGGGATGCAGCCAACAAAGAGCCTCCTGGGTGCCCCTGTCCTCCCATTCTCACACCTAGATCCCCATCGTCCCATCATCTGACACATCCTGTAGAGGGTGACAGGGGTTCACTTGCTCTAAGCAAAGCCCACTCACAGTCACTCAGACTTGACACTTATAAATCAAACTCCTTCTCCCCTAATTTCAGCATAGGATCCTCCGCTTGGACCGTGCTATTTATGGTTTGTATTATACCGTGCTACGAAAGATTTTTGTGTAAGCCCATAATAACTGCAAGCAGGCAAGTGCTCACAAGTTCTGAATCTGCTCTGAAGTAAGGTGAAGGCAAATAAAACTATAATGCTATCTGACTCTCCTTTTATCTGTAAATAACTTTTTTTTTTTTTTCCTGTTACTACTAGCAGCAAATTAAGGCTTTTGGAAAATATCAGTCACTTCTAAACTTGTGGGAGAATCTGGCTACAAAGTTCAGACAAAGACAGGCTTTAGTTTAATGACATTAATCAGAAGATGTGATGTCTCACTTCCTTTTTGATTACCTCATCTATGACATCCTGGTGTGTTCTTAGAGCCCAGTGTGTGAATGCTCTGCAGCCAGAATGTTCAGGAGCAGCTGGGAATAGTGTTTGCACCTGGCTTCTATTGAATATGGGCATGGTCAGGAAGTTTCTGGGGCATGAGGAACACCCAGATCTCATGTTTTTCAAACACCATTGAGCAATGACAATGGGCAGCATCAGAACTGCTATGATACAAACTCAAGCAAAACTTGACTCCAGTGATGCAGTACCCAGTGTGAACAGTCGGTTAAAGAAGGAGGCATCACTGAAATATTTTAGTCTCCAGACACTGCTCTTTCAACCAATAGCTCAGTTGCCACAAAGTTATGCATAGACATTACTTACTATCACAAGTTCATCTAAGACAATGCATCTGTGGTCCTTTAGAAGCATAAGCATTAGCCCTTGGCTATAAGGATGCTGTTTTTCTGGTGGTTATCTGTGAGGCAAACTTCCTCTGGGCACTCTCATACTGCCCTTAGCAATGTTCTTGCATGTGCTATTTTCCCATTGGCAGGACCCCATCACAGAAGAAAAAGTTCAGAGGATGAAGGAGCAGTTCATGTCTGCCTATGATGTCACCACAGATGGCCGCTTGCAAATCCAAGAGGTATCTTCCCCCAACCCAGTTGTTGTTTGTTTGTTTGTTTGTTTTTTCAGATAGAAGGAGGATGGGGACCTAAAGCAGACTTGGCAGATATGGGAGATATGAGAATCTGGGGGGGGAGGAGGTGTAGTCATGGAGTACTGCATTCACCAGATCTCTTGGTCTGGTCTTCATTCCACAGCAACTACATGACAAGCTGGTATTTCCCATGTGTGTCTGCAGCCATCCAAGCTCCCCTTCCCTTCCCTTCCCTTCCCTTCCCTTCCCTTCCCTTCCCTTCCCTTCCCTTCCCTTCGTTTCAGCTTACAGATATGATTTTGGGGTTGGTATGTGTGTTTTTCAGCTTGCAAATATGATCTTGCCAGATGATGAAAACTTCCTACTGCTCTTCCGACGGGAGACTCCCTTGGACAACAGTGTGGAGTTCATGCGGGTCTGTTTTTCTGCCTTCCTCATTCCCTTGCACACCAATTGCCCCAACCTTTTCTGTAGCACCTGTTCTGTATCACTGATAAATCCAGTCCTGATAAATCCAAAGCTCTGCACCCAGTACAGTGCAGACCAGGAGGGCTGACCAGCCACCATTTAAGCGCAGTCCTGAGCTGATGAGTTAGCCTGGGCTGTGAAGGCACACAGACACATCCCTGCCCTATTCAGGGACACTGAGAAATTCACCTTTGGCAGGATGGGCACAGGGACAGTTGTAAAATGTATAATGCAAAACTCCTTTTTTTCTCTGCAAGTTGCTTCAGATGAAAGTTTTGGCTTTTTGTAAGACTATTTGCAGTTCTTATTTCACATCCAAGCTCAGGGCTTCTGCAGATCAATGGCCAGCTGCATACTGGCCTGGACTCAGGGCAGTAACCACTTTGAGAAATTGCATGTACAAATTAGGTAAGAAATGTGGCCCAGTTTCTCAGTCTTTTCTTCCTTTTATAGAATGCATGTCTACATTAAATATGCGATCGCAGCATGTCACGCATACAGCACCCAAATTAGAGTAATTGCTATTGTGTGGAAAGTTTATTTTGTTTTGTCCACAATTAATCAAATGCTGGGTAACAGAACAGCTAGCTCATTAGGGAGGTTCTGATTCAGATCTTTATGATTTATCTCCTGTGTGAGTGATTACTGGCAACATGTAAGGTCATATCAATCTATCCCCATCCAGATCTGGCGCAGTTACGATGCTGATAGCAGTGGATTTATTTCAGCTGGAGAACTCAAAGTAAGTTGCTCTAACCAGTGTCTTTGAGTTTGATCTACAGCTCACAGATGTCAACAGGAGCCTATTCATCGCCTTTAACAATCTGCTGCCTTTCTGTGTGATGACAAATGGCACATTAAGCTCATTCACGGCCAGTTTAAGGGCTGGGCACCCTCCAGCCTTCTGGCATAGCTGCAGGGACAACAGTGGGTGAGAGGAAGATCTGCCATCCCTCCTGCTGTTTCACTGCCCCATTGCCCTGCCTATTTTGATCTGAGATCAGTTAGCAGACACTGTGGGAGTTAGCTCTTGTGTATTTTGTGGCTGAACTATTCCATTACAACTGATTCCAGTATGCTCACTTAGGGACAGTTTGATTATTTTCTGATTTATTTGCAAAAATATTTTGCAGTATGAACTTCAGGGGAAATTGAAGGCCTGAGTACTAATTGGGAATGTGAAATTAGATTCATGTGACTGCTGAATTTGAGTCTATTTTCTTACTGTTTCTTCTTGAATTTCTCTAAGTAATTAATATTTGACTCTTTCCTGGTTACAGGATTTCTTGCGAGATCTCTTCTTGCAGCATAACAAGGTGGTTACTGATGCAAAGTTGGAAGAGTATACTGATACAATGGTAAGCAAAGAGAGCAATAATATTGTTTAGGTTATAATACTGCCTAAAAGCATCCCTCAGGGTCTCAGTATTTGATGCCATAGGGGTCCTCTCAAAAGGTGTTTCTTTTCCGAGAGTTCCCCGTGGGAAGCTAGACAGCACACAGCTACTACTTTGCACTGTACTGGATTAGCTGTGAACAACATTTCAGGTTTGAGTTGAAGTGTTTATTATGAGAAAGCAACCTGACTTTGTGCCACAGCAAACTGAGCCCTAAACCTATTCAAATCAATAGGTGAGGTGTATTCTTCTTCAGCCTCAGCCAGGGCTCCATCCAGCTTCCTCCCTTGTTCCCTCTAAGCAAATCCTTTTGCTCCTCAGAAATGCTGGCATCTTTCACTTTTTCTCTGCAAAATATGGAGAGCCCTGCTAGCTCCCTGAAAGGCTGGGAATCTCAATGCTCACAGGCTTTGATTCTTCCCCTGCCTTCTCACAATGAAGCTTTTATCCTGCAATCATCAGCAACATAATATTTGGCATAAGTTTAGCATCAGTCAGTCACCTGGGTTTCAGAACAACTTATTGTGTCTAACCATCTGAAAACAAGAAAGGAAAAAAAAAAAAAGCCCATTTCTGATGTTGTTATCAAGGCTATCATTTCACTTCCACCAGGAGACATCTATCGTTGCAATTTTCTAAATGATTTTCAGATGGAACTGTCTTGCTTCTTGGCACAAAATCTGTGTTTTCACCTATAGTAGAGCTTGGTATGCAAGCAAATGAGGAGCTGCCCATGTATTTTGCAATACCATGTTATGTATGCATGTAGCATCTGTGACTAAAAATGTCACTCTTTAGAGCAAAGCAAGAAGCTGTACCTAATGGTGTACAAAAGCGTGTGCATCTTTTCATGTTTATAGGACAGTTAAGAGAGAGGAAAGCTTTCTACAGAAGTTATTTTCCATCTGGAAGAGCTTGAAAAACAATAAAAACCCAGAAGCTGCAGCCAGAACAAAACCTTTCCAGCAGAGTTTGCAGGTAGCAAACAGCTTTTAGGCTGCCCCATTAAGATTCCCTTAGCCAGTAGCTCTTCTCTGACCTGGTGCTGCTGGGGAACACGCAGTCTGAAGCTTGTAGATATTATGCAGATAATTTCATCCAATTTCTTCCCTTTCCGATAATTTCTCAAAAAGGATCTATGATTTCTGCCACCCCAGTGCAGCTAGATAAAATGTGGTTGGAAAGAAATGTGGTGTGGTAATGCAGCACAGGGCTGACAGCCAGGAGGTCTGGTTTCTATTCTCCTGGTTTTTACTGATTGGCTTTGTGTTTTTGAAGAGGCAGTTTAGCCACTATGCTGCAAGTTCTGATCTGGGAAAGGAATGATTCCTATATCTGGGGTAATCTGTGACCTAAAATGCAAATCTGGCCCATGGGGATAGAAGTTTGCAAAGCCATAATGCCAAAAGGATCACAGAAAATAGTGGAAAATGAGAATAATAGAATCATTAAATATCCCAAGTTGGATGGGACTCATAAAGTTCATCAAGTCCAACTCCTGGCTCCTCACGGGACCATCAAAAATTGGATCATATGTCTGAGAGTGGTGTCCACATACTTCTTGAACTCTGGCCCTTGGGGTCATGCCCAATGCCCTGGGGGACTTGTTTCATGCCCACCACCCTGTGGTGAAGAACATTTTTCCGATCTGACCCACTCCCATCACAGCTCCATGCTGTTCCCTCAAGTCCTGTAGCAGATTATTTATTTTTCTTTGTGATTTTTTGGTATAAAGGCAAGATCAGGGATGCTTACAAACACACCTGATCCCAAGCACTAAGGTGGAATGTGAAATCATCACATCAGGTGTTGCAGTATCCTGTACTAAAATGGAGGATATGCATTCTGTGCATCACGGCGAAGAGCTCCCACATGGACAGCACCTATATAGAAGTGGACACAGATTGCATGGGAATTTGCCTGAAGCAGTAGTGCAAAATTGCAAGGAGGAAAGAAAAATGCACTCTTATGTTTTATCTGCCCATTAAAAAGGGGAAAAACAGAAAAAAAGGAAAAAGTGACTTGAGCTACCAAGATTAAAGGTGTGATGCCAAGGTCCAGAGCAGTGGGACACCCCTGCTTTCTCTTCCTGCTTTCCATATGGAGCAAGGAAGTCCTGGTGGGTCTCTGCCGCCATCCCAACTGCCTGGGAAAACAGGGTGAGTGCAACCATGAGATACTTTGATGCAAAGCAGGGGCTTTATATTTTTACAGGCTTTTACAGGCTCTCTATTGCTTTTTTAGCAACCAGCAACACTCACTCCTTTACTGCAGAACGGAAATAGTTCTATTTCTTTCTCCCATATCTTTGTTTCCACCCTTATTTAGAGCGCAAAGTCTTCTGAACATGGACCTTTTTCTGCTTTGCACTGCTTCAGGGTCTCTGATAGTGGCCCAGCCATCCTGCTCAGGGCTTTCACATGCCTCTGTAATAACATTTGGTCCAAAGAAGCTGTGTCCCAAGGAGCTGTAATCCCATCTGTCTCCACAGGCATTTACAAATCTCTGCTCTCTTCTTTGTGCACTCCATCTTAAGTAGATACTGATACACCAAGTGGGCCCTAGAGCTTTTTGGAGACAGGGATAAAGGGGAAAAGACACAAACAATCATCTTAAAGAAGATAGCCCAGGCATGAAAGAATGAAATTTTACAATTCTTTGCTGGATATTTGCAGCTTTAGCTTGTGGGAGGTAAATGGCCAGGGAATGTCAACTACATCCAGTTTGCTTATGCTGTTATGAATGATCATCTAGTATGCAAAATAAATCAATCAACTTATAAATAACAGCTGAGATATCTGGAAAGAGGGATGCAGCTTTCCTTTGGAAGTATTGCTTCTTTCTGTTCCTTTGAAGAGCCAGAATCACCAAGAACGGCTCAAAGAAGTGCCCTCCTTTCCCTGATCTGGGTTAAACACAGCACAGCAAATACCTGAACAGGTGTGATATACACACACTCTCTCATACATATTTATAATTTTATATCATCTTAAATATTTTATATATATTTACATATTCCTATGTATAAATACATCTCTCAACCCTTCATTTTCAGCTGTTTCAAGTGAGACAGAGGAGAAACCAGAAAAACTGAGATAGTTTTCTGCTCTGCTTTACTATTACTTGAGGCCCTTTCACACTTTTAACATACGTATATTGGTTGACTGCAGAAAGGAACATCATTTTATTGAATTGCTTAGAAGCTATTTGTATGCAGGCTATTCTGTTTCCTTATGACCTTTACATCCTTTTTTCAGAGAACACTGATTTAGATTGAGGATGGATGAGTCATGAACCATTGGGAAGAAATGAGGTAGGGAATGTGTTGGAATTGCACAGTCCCCATGAGTTTGTTAAATCAAATCTGTAGCATCCTTCAAGTCCCTGGGGAAAGTTGTGAGAAAAGAACATTTGAGTGCTCAAGACTCTTGATGAGGGAATTAAAGCAGCAGTTCTGTGCTGTGGAAGCCCCTTTGCAGGATTTGTGTTAGCTTTTGTGCCTATATGTACATATGTTTGTATTAGCAGTAATAAAGAGTGCACTAATATTTACACTCATGTGCTTGCATGAGAAGATAGCGATGTGATGTTCTGAATTCTTGAAAGTAGTTTGTGTGTGTTTGTCTTCTTCTAGAAGAGAAAAACCACAGGCTTCTAGACTGAGAGCTGTGGGCAGGGAGCAGATGCTCAGAGGCAGAAACAGATCCTTATACTGCTCTAAGCTCCTCTGAGCAATGAGAAGATGTCCCAGAGGTACAGTACTGTGGGAGACAAATTGGGCATAGTTGAAAGTGGGGTGTAGTTTTTAAGAGCCTGATGAGAACGTACTTCCTTCTTAAAGCAACACAAAATGGAGAAATGAAAAGTTGTCCCATTACTGCTTCATCACAAAAAGAAAAAAAGTGGATGGAGGGATCACAGTAGCACTAACAACTTTTCCCATGATCCTGGGGAAGTTTCTGTAGATGAATATCCAGCTCATCCTTGCATTTGCCAGGATTTTGTCATGAGTGACAGCTTCTATACGTGTATGCACACAGCTGTGTACTTCAGCACGGTGTTGTATATGCCTGAGTCTAAAAAAGATGTCACCATAATTTCTGATGAAGTTTAGTATTGATCTCTTGTCTTCTGCAGTAACAAAATTCTCACTCAGCTCTTGCATTTATTACTGCCTTGTTCACAGAACCACTGATGGTTCATAGCTTCTCATATAGCAGCATGCTACTTCTGGCTTGTAATCTCAATATCTGCAAGATACCTGCAGGGAAAGCTCAATTCTGAGGCACCCTTCAGCAAATTATGTTGTATATACCACTGTAACTGTCACTCATAGAACATCAGTACTCTCTTTTTGTATTGGTAATATTGGACTGGGCAAAATAAGCTCCTTTAATTTGAGAATTATTATATTTTAGCAAAATGCATAAGATAAAAACCATAAAGTAGAATACTCTCCCCACCACAAACTGAATTTCTAGGGAAACAGTCATGTAAGTGTGGTGAATAGTAATACAGTAAATGTTGGTCATGAAATACAGCCTTTGATGGAAATTAGTATATGAATATGGCTGAAGATGAATCTTTTCCCCAGGGAAGCCAATAGAGCAGTCTTCCCAGCTGTAACACTGTCATGGTTTAACTGTGCTTATCAGCAGAATTTCTGGGCATGGAGCTGCATATCTTGAGCAGTTACTGACCTCACATATGAACTGCAGCTGGCTATGTGAGGGCTCTTGGTCTTCTCAGTATGAAGGGAACAGGCTTACTTCTCCCTGAAAGGTGATCTGCATCCATAGGAATTAATCGTGCTCTACCTTTGTTTTGTATTGAATGAAGAGGGGAGGTTTATATTGGATGTAAGGAAGACTTTTTTTACAATAATGGTGGTGAGGCACTGGTACATGTTGCACAGAAAGGTGGTGGAAGCCCCATCCCTGGAGATACTCAAGGTCAGGCTGGATGGGACTCTGAGTAACCTCATCTACATTACAGGGGAGTTGGACTAGATGACCCCTAAGGGTCCCTTCCAACTGAAATAACTATAATTCTATGACTGTTGCTGATTTTGTGACTGCAGGCTGTCCTCTCTGCAAGGACAATGCTAGAGGCTCAGAGTGGGTATTTCTTTGGCTGTGAATGTCAGTCTGTCTGTCTCTGCTCTTTGCCAATGCATGTGTACTTACATAGAGGAAATACAGATGATCTAGCTCCTTATCACCATATTGGCAAAGTGTATCCATATTAACAATTTTTTTTACAACCACCAAAGGAATAGTACCATAGAAAGAAATCTTTGTTACAGTGATAGCCTAAACGGAGCATGTTGTGCTTCTGAACATGCTCTGATCAAACTTTCTGAAGCTGTATAAATACAATAGTGGAATGTGGCCCAAGACGGGTAGTTTATAGGTGAGCTCTTTGTACATCCCTTCTCCTGGTAGTGGTCAATGCGGGCCTCCCTCCCAGGCAGATACTTGAGGATGCCATGCCCCTAGGAGACCACATCTACAGTTCTGCATGGGCACTGCAACCATCAGCCCTCCTAAACCCATCCACCACCATGAGAGCCACCCTCTCTGAGAGCTTTCTCATGGCCCTGGATCACTGTGATTCCTCTCACTGATGAAAGGCTGCCTTATTGTGTGTGGTAAGAGGGCTCACACACAGTTCATTTATGCCATGGAGGGAAATCTGGCCCCACATCACTTCTAGACTTAATCCCAGTTGTTCTGTTGTCTTCGGTTTTGCACTGCTCTTGCTGTGACATAAGCCAGCAGAAGCAGAAAATTGCATTTCAGCTCAAACTTCACTTCTAAAGAACAGAACTCATGGAACACAGGTTCTGGCTTTCAAAAATCCCTGCAAATAACAGTTTGTTCTTTTAGGCACCAAAGGACCCTTAGAAATCCCACACTAAATGACTTGCCTAGGTTACACAGGCGCTATAACCTGGGGGGCAGAGAACAGAGCTTCTGTACCGAGGGTAAATTGCTGGCCACAGAGCCTTCAGGGCTCTGCAAGAGCCTGCTGGCCCCAGCAAAAGGGGACAAATGCAATCTTCCACTTGGCCTGTGTCACTGTTATATCCCCTCAGTACCTGCTGTACTCCTCAGCTATATTAGTTATAGCTGACATCATATAGGTAGTCGAGATATGTTGTGAGAGCAGCTGGGTAGGCAGGAAACAACTCTATGTTCCCTCCAGGGATGACACACTTCATTACACATCAGAGAAGGGACAGGAAAGCATTTAGAAGCAGGCCCTAGTAATTCTGCTGATCACAGACCTATTTATTTTGCTTATTTACTTTTCTCCTTATCTCTGTCACAGAAAATAATTTCAATTTATAATCTTACAGGGCTCTTCGAAGCATGTTTGTCATATCTTGGTGTTTCAGTGGCCTTCTTTACAACACCTGATTGAGAAAGCAGAGATATTTCCTTTGCTTAATTCAAAGCCTATGGCAGTTTTGAGTTTGCACTTTTAGTGCACACTGTAACAACTCTTGTTTTGCAAAAACAGTTCTCAGTTATGCTCTGTCTGCCTCAGAGTACACACATTAAATTCAGACAAACAGAAGTAAGACTTCCCTGGTGTGCTCCCATTAAAATGTCAGTGAATTAATTTGTGCAAACACTTTAAAACATTGGCTAGCTTGACAGTAAAACAAATGCATCATTTTATAAAGCATACTGCTGGATGCAACAAAGCTTTTAATAAAATTGTGTGCTATTTAAACATGCCAGACCTTATCCTTAACCACATTGAGATGTTTCATATCAGCCTGGCAGCATAAATATACCTTCCAAGAGAGTAAACTGAAAATCCATCAAGTTTAACATATCAAGATGGTGTGTAAAGGCAAAAGTTTAAATTAGAAACAATCTCATAACAATTTCAAATGTCTTCTTCTCCCATTATGTATGTCTCATCATATGGGATGGGAACCCTCTGTCATTCTTTGATCACTTATGTACACAATTAGCAGATCAGATCAAACAATTGTGTGCTTGAAATTTGAAAGCTTAATTAATATACATTTCCCCAGGCTTTTCTATCCCGAGATTGCCAAGTAGTGTGTATGCATGAGCTACAGTTGTCCAAATAATAGGATTAGGTCTATCTTATTAGCTGTGGTACCTGAACTAATTCAGAGAACAGTATTCCATCTTTGCAAGACATTTTCCATCTTTCATGTGGAATTCAAGATGCAAGAATTAACCAAGCATAGCACTTCCTGCAAGACTTTCTTTTCTCTCTGTTGATTGGGATGAGAAATCAAAAAATCACAGAGGTTTGAATTTGTTTCCTCCATGATACTTTTTGCAGGAAAAAAAAAGAAAAAAAAAACAACAGAATTTGAAAATGCAAAGATTTTCTCTTGATATTGCAGAAGCAGAGCTGAATGACAGAGGTCAGAGAGGGGAGCTGATATAAGTGGATGTAGTAAACCACTGAAAGTATAATGTTAAGCTCAAAGATAGAGCAAAATTGACTGTGGATGTTTCTTTTCATTAAACATTCCACTGAGGAATGTATTACCTTTACAGTTAAATTTGTTTTAATGAGATCTGCACTGCTGCTGGAAAATAGTGAAGGGTTCAGAAATTAAAGCTATCATTGCAAGGACATTTCTCCCCTTTGTGGCACAGCATGAGCAGCTCCAGCTCCTAACCCTGCCTTCAGTCTTGTCCTGTTGTGGCCAACATCTGTGTTGACTTCAGGGCATTAGTTTTCCAGTGATGTCAGTATGGAACTTCTGTCATCCATATAAGCTTTACACTTTCTCTCAATGGGAGGAAAAGTGGGCCCATACAGAGTGCTCTTCAAAATTCCCTTCCAGATCTTAGTAGCACAAGTTACAGAAGAATTAATGCAATAAAATCCAGTTGCAGAATCAGCAGCCAGTCAGCAAAGAGCTACTGCAGGCTCAGCACATGTGCCAGAGCACAGGAGAGGGAGAAGGCACAAAAAAAAGGCATCGTGTATACATGTGGGCATCCCAAGGTACAGCAGCTCCCAGCCCTTACCTCTACTTACGCAGAGTGTCAGGCCCCTGTTTCACTGCTGGGCAGTGCTCAAGACGTGCTATGGGTTCATTCATCCTGGAGCTCATGCCAGGTCAGGATGTGTCACAGAATGTTGCTCAGGGACATAATTTAGCAGAGGGTTGTTAGAGTTAGGGTAGTATGGTTAAGTTGTGGCTGGACACAATGATCTTTAAGGTCCTTTCCAACCTGAGTGATTCTATGATTCTATGTCCTCTCCTTATGAGCCTACAGGGTTGGGGACTGGCATCTGCAGTTACATGAATAAGCAAATGAGGTTCATGCAAGCACAATTAATGCATGTTCTTCTACTGAGGATGTGACAAAGAGTGGTACTCCATCTTAGTAAAAAATTGATTTTTTTTCCCCAACTGCACTATAGAATACATTTTTTCAAGAACTTTGATCCTGAAGGCATTAGTTTTTGCAACCCATTAAACTCTTCCCCTGTAACTGACTCTTATTTGTGCATTGCAGAGAAACAATGTACTAAATCTATTAAATGAATAGATAATACCTGGTGTTGAATTACCAAAAAGATCACATTAAGAAAAGGATACAATTCAGGAAAAGATAGCTTTAGCATTCACACAGATCAACCTCTCGATGCCCGAGGCCTGAATCTTCCCAGTCCTGTCACTTTCTTGTGGCAGGCTTTGAGCCAGATATGCAAGCCCACCAGCTCTAGCAGCACCCAGACCTGATCTGAGTGTCTGTCAGGAGGTGAAACTTGCACCTCAGCCACCGGGCAGCCACACTGACAGTCAAAGATAACAACAGAGCTGGGCTGGAAGTGTTTAGAAGCTTCAGTGTTTTTTCCAGGGACAGTGTTTAGGTGCTTAAGTTGTCTGTCAGAGACCTGTCTTCATTGGAACGGTGTCTGGCTGCTTTGCTTCTCAATGCCAGAAAGCCAACACAGAGAGGACGTTGCTGTACACTTGCTTACCAGGTCACAGGGCACAGCAAAATATCTGCCAGCCTCTTTTATATATCTTCTCATCTGCCTATCTATTTCATAGCAACCCTATCTTTTATCTTTTAGATGAAAATCTTTGACAAAAACAAGGATGGACGTCTGGACCTGAATGACCTGGCAAGGTAGGCTTCAATGACATTGATGCAGTTTTTCAGCTCGCAATGACACATCCAGGCAAAGTGATGACTTTCAGCAATAATATCTCTCTGGAGACATGCATCTGAATCCTAAAACAAGTCAGGCTCTCTGATGTAGGCATCCTGGGTCTCTAATGCATGGTTAACACTGTGATATTCTGTGAGGATGTGGCTGAGGAGTCAAGGTGGCACTGCCAGTGTGCTTGGCCATGTCGGCAGGGGAGAATTTGGAGACACAAGAGGAAGATGCTTATAGATGAAAATGGTAGTTTAGTCTCTGCCCCTTTTCTGTCTTTGACAGCTGAAAGTTTTTGGGTTTTTTTGTTGGTTTTTTTTTGGCAATTGGCACTGTATACAGATAGAGTATGCCTGTATATGTAATGTATGTGCAGTCAGGTATGACTTTAATCGCATGGGTTAAACAACTTAAAATACCGGTTTGGGGGATGAGAAGCAGAGGCGCTGCCCTCAGTACTCAGGTCAGTGTTACTTCGTCCTTTCCTTTTCCAATGCTTCATGAAGAAAACAGTGGCAGATTACTATTTCCTGTAACGCAGCACAGCAGCCTTTACAAACTGGGATAGTTCAGAGCAGTACGTATGTAGTTGACGAAGTGGCAAGATCTTAATTTAAATCTCTCTCTTCAGGATTCTGGCCCTCCAGGAAAATTTCCTTCTTCAGTTTAAAATGGATGTAAGTTTTTCTTGATGCATTCCTCCCATTCCTCTCAGATAAGATAACTTACGCTAGAACCTGACTCTATTTTTTTTTCCTTTTTCACTCGCTCTCCCTGCACGCAGGCTTGCAGCACAGAGGAAAGGAGGAGAGATTTTGAGAAAATCTTTGCACACTATGATGTTGTGAGTCCAAGCAACATTCCTTTGTGGTCTCTACATGATTAAATATATGACAATGCCAGAGCTAATGGCCAGAAGTGCTCATGTGAAGGTGGGGACAGAGGTGGGCAATGCTCAGGGACCTCATAACAAAGGATACATTTTCATTTTTTCCACTGCCTTGGCCAGTACTGCTGTATCAGCAATATCTCTGTACAGGAGACACATGGGCTGTAGAGAGCATGGTGCCTCTAGCTGTAGTTCTCCAGCAATTTGGGACTCACATCATCACCCTGAGAAATGAAACCCCTTTCAGAGCTTAACCAAGAGTTATTCTAAATCTGGCCCAGGATGGCCAGGACTGCCCTAGCATTGGTTAGAAAACAGCAGTCTGGTGCCACTTCTGTCATTCCCACAGTGGAGTGGTATGGTGACTAGCAAGCCTCACAAAATAGTGGGAGATATTACTGCCACTTAAGGGGAAGAGACGGTCTGGGATAAGGGATGACAGTGCTATTGGGCTCAGTGAATAGGTGGATGGGTTTTGACTTACTGGAAGGTTTCGATGTTTCTTTCACCTGTCAGAGTAAAACGGGAGCACTTGAAGGCCCAGAAGTGGATGGATTTGTCAAAGACATGATGGAACTGGTCAAGGTATCTGCATGTTTTTTTTCTTTTTATTAATACCCTTTATGTCCAAGAGGAAAGTCCTTATTCTGATAAAAATATGTAAGCAGAGCAAGAGTGGGAACATAGAGTCAAATTTAATTTCAATCACAGACAGAAATGAATGTCATTGCCTCAGAATATTCAGCATAGAGCATTTCACCACATCACAGAAATTCTATCTGACAAATTAATACAACTTGACTCAGCAACTGTATTTAAATCCATTCTGTTTCATACTCCGAGCTGGGCAGATGTTATAGCATCACAAACCACCTGGTCTACCCATACACATACATTTTTTTCCCTAACGATGCAATATTCAGGCTAAAATAGCTAAAAAGTGTTGAGTAAGCTGGAAAAGAGATATATGCCTTTGCCTTTTCATATATTTGAGTGAAAAGCCATGATCAGAGCTGAGAGTCTTCAGCTCCAGCTGACAACAGCATAGACCAAAGTTTCTCAGAGTATCACCATGCCTGAACATCAGGAAGTTCATGCATGGGATCCTTAACGATTGTGATTTTATAAGGCCACAAAGTCAGCTTTAGAGGGAGACACTCCTCAGCATGACTTGGAGTTCATGAGCCAGGAGGTTGAATGGCTGAAACTTCAGCATGGGACTATTCAGTGCTGCCTATGCTACAGAAATCCTCTTCAGCTCACTTCAACCATCTTTCCCTATGATCTTGCCTTCAGGTTGAAAGAACAGCTGTGCAAAGAGTAAAGGGCAACTCATATCTAGGAGGTGGCTCACATGTCAAAGAACTGTTGCTTAAATCCTTAAATTCTGCCTCCTCACTGATGCTATGATTGTAACTTTATTGACATGGATTGGTCATCAGAGATTCTTCTTTATTCTGTTTTGGCTGTGCCAGCATGATCTCATAGTTTATTATGTCATCAAAGAGCTACACAGAAAAATCACTTGATCTCTCTCTGTAGTCAAGAGTACTGTGCCAGTGTGTCACTTACAACAGCAGAGTCCACTTGTTTTGAATTACCTTGAGTTTTCAGATACAGTCCAAGATGCTAATAGTCCAGTTTTTGGCTTCACCCAAGCCTGAGTCATTGTATTTCCCTGTGAAGTGACCCTATGCAAGGCTGCTTATGCTCTCACATCCATTTTGCAGAGTAGACAGAGGCAAAGAGGCCTGGAAAACTTGCCTTTAACATTCATTTGATACACTGAAGGTATTTAAAAGTTGCTGACTAGCTTGCTGACTAGAAAGTTGTAGCTTGTGATGGAAATGGCATATACTCCTTTGTGCAGCAGGTTTGAGAGAGGAAACTGGATGAAGGTGCAGACCCAGAACTAACTGCTGACTATTGCTTGACACAGATCAGAAACTGAGCAACCTGATTAAGGGAACAAACTATCATGCATTTCCTTATAAGACTCACCTAACCATCCCATCCACCTAACCATAACCTTTCTGTTTTTATGGGGCCTCATTTCCACCTTCCTTGTTGCCCTCTTGTGTGAGCTGATGTGGGGTTGAGCCCCTTGGTTGCTCACCCTTTGGGGCATCTCTCTGCCACTCTGTCTGCTGCTTTACAGAGCTGCTGAAACCCAGAGGTGTTTTCCTTTCAGCAATGCATTCTCTTTCTCTTGCAGCCCAGCATCAGTGGGGTGGACCTGGACAAATTCCGTCAGATTCTGCTCAACCATTGTGATGTGAACAGAGATGGGAAAATTCAAAAATCAGAACTGGCCTTGTGTCTAGGGCTTAAAATGAACCCATAGCTGTTGGTGGTGCTTGTGGCTATGTTTCCCATGTGAGGTTTGCCTGCTGCTCCTGGTAGAAGTGTGTCTGTGCTGTGCAAGCAGATGGGTGGTGGGCAGGGGGGGGCATTTGTACGAAGGGGCAGATAGCCTTACCAATGTTTATGAACCTCTTGGATATCTCCAGAAGCTGCCTGGCCATGGACCTGGGCACCCTGCTCTGGGTGGTCCTGCTGGAGCAGGAGTGGGGTCTGTAGAGGTCCCTGCCTGCCTCAGTTATTCTGTGATTCTGTGACTTTGTGAATCTGTGACAAGTGTTGATGGGTGGTGTTCAATAGGTGCCACTGCTTGTGGGTCTCTCCAGCATGGTCTTTGCCCACAGGCACACTATTTGCTCAGAAAGAGGGTTGCTCACCTTCTCCTACCCCTGTGAAACAATGCCCTGCCCATCTCCTAGAGTAGAGACAAGCATCTCCCAGCGTTGATGCTCCTGGGCTGCTGCTGCTCTGTGATTCTGATGGTTGCCTTCTGTGTGAAGTCATTACTTTGGTGAATGTTGAGCTTTGTTTGTGCAGTTGAAATATTGGATGGGTGTATTTCTGCAGAAATAAAAAAAATGGCAGTTACAGCAAATCTGTAAGATTGGAGTTTATGTGTTACTCGTGGAAAGCCATCTGCTGCAGACAGATGACCATATACGGTAGCCATTTTATATAAAAGCCATCAAATTGCAAGAGCCTTTATGATGCCTATCTGCTGTGGTTTTTAGTTCTGTCAGCAAATGAAACATAGTAAGTTCTTTCCATGGAGAAACCACATGTAACATAAATTAATATTGCCTCAAGGATGAAGCCACAGAGTAACGTCACTTCTGGAGGAAGCCCTTCTTTTAAATCAAACCAAAGTCATAAACAAGGCTTCCATAAATTGAAAACTTGGAAGGACAGAAACCTAATTAAGGAAAAGCTCACAAGCACATGTGTATTTTTTAAAATCCATACGAGTTAGTGAATTGTTGCAAACTTTATTGAACTTAAAGCCTCCCATCATTCCCAGGCCATTAACGTAGTCTTGAAACTCAATGGCATCACCATCATTTGTCTCCATGTATTTTACTGCACATTCAGCAAGTGCAAAGTTCCAAAGAGAGATTAGGGGGAATGGTTGTCAGCAAAGCTCCCACATTTCAGCATTTATGTCTCCCGTAGTTGAGAGTCCCATTCTTGACACTACAAGTTTCTTTCCAATTGTTCCCTGCATACAAGGGCATAATGAAGCACTTCCCCTATAGTCTGCTTTATAAAAACCAATCAGAAATTGCCTTCACTGAACACATATAGACATGCTGATTCAATACACCACTACAGAACATTCACAACTTTTGGGTGATGCTCATTTCCCATTTACGCTGATGATAAGCTCGGAGGCAATGTGCTAAGTGCATTTAAACACAGCACTGAAATAGGGCTTTAAGCTCCTAACTGATTTTTTTATGGCAGCAACTCAAATCGCAGCTGCAATAACAGAGGTTCACAGTGGTTCAGAAAAACTTTAAGCAAGAGCTCCAAGAGCCATCAGGGGTGTACCTTTACTCCCTGACATTGCATTCCTCCGAGGGAAGAGCAATATGGAGCACGCAGCAGCAGAGAGGAATCTAAAAGGAGAAAGTTCCATGCACCACTGCTTATCAGACATGCATTATCAGCATACTCAGCAACTTGCTACAAATTTGGTGGGGCACATTACCAAACGTCTTTCCATCATACCTCAAGAGGAATATGTCTTACCAGGCTAAATCATACCTATAAGTACATTCTTTATTTTCTCTCTCTCCTCTTGTCCCTTACATAATAAAGGAATAAAGGATCAGGACTGTATGCTGCCCTGTTTGCAAGGACCATGGGGAGAGCTGCATCCCAGTGAGCCACAGGTACCCCATAAACCACATATCATGTCAGCAGTGCTGTGGGTCAGCAAGGCAATCATTGACAAGTCACAGCCTTGTAACCCCCCAGCCCCTAAAAGTCAGTATTATCACAGCAGGCATTTGGAGCCTCCCATGGAGAAAAAGAAGCATTTCTTTATTTTCACTTCAATAATGAATGATGTATATGACCCTCCTGTCTCAGGCTTGGCTGTGGTAACCAGTGATTGATCCTTTCAGAAGTAATACAGACACATGGGCAGGTAATACATTTTGATGAAACATCGCTAGTGGCAATTTTGTAAATTCAAAAAATACTTCTATGTTCTGTCTGGATTTCCTTGTGCACCAAAATATGAGATACTGTTTCACATTTGAATAGTTACATTCACATTAATTATATTAAAACATATTGCCTACAAAACCAAAACCATCTACAGGCCATGATGCCTGCAGTGCTGTAAATGTATTGAAGATACGCAAGGAAGGTTTTGTGCTGTTTAATCTGTACCTCCTCTGCCAACAAAATTCTGCCATATCATACTATTTAGGAGCTTGCATATTGGCAAGTAGAATTTAATAAATGAAAGTGAGTGCAAGTGCTTGCCAAGATTGTTTCCCTTGGTATCTTCATGTTTTTCTCTTGAAAGCTGGGCAGTTTTCTATTTGTTCATAGTATGCAAATTCACTGAAATGAATTTCAACTGGCTTACACCACCATATTCAATGGGTATATTTCCAGGAGACAATTAGCTGAGACAAGCATAGCGGTCAGTGCACACAGAATTCCCAAATCTGTCATTTCAATACTTTTTTTTCTCCACTTGCTTGTTTAATTGGCAAACAGCTGAACCTGGAAATCAAAGCGTGAATTTCTTCGGTGTTGCTGGCTGCTCCCTTGCCTCCTTTCAGCTCAGTGAGATATTGGAGGTTGTGCCCTGGTCTCCTGTCACGCTCTCTGCTCTCCTCGACCCTTCTCATTTTCAGCACCTGATACAGTTTCGTTCTGGATGACTTGCCATGACAACTTAGTCAGGAGATGCCATCTCTGACAGCTTCAGCTGACTGTGTAGAACTCTTACAGGGGAAAATGACCATTTACTGGGCTTTTAAATTCAAATCCATCCCTCACTTAATTCCATTTATTTCCCTGGAAATTATGTTATAGAGACACTTTTCTCATGTCACTGAACCTCAACAAACTGCCTGCCAAGCCAAAGCCATCCCCATGGAGCTCTGCCATTGGAGATGCACAGTTTTGCAGACCAGACTCAGTCACAGATTAATCACGTCCCATCTTGTCCCACAATCTGTGCATTTTTTCCCCAGAATAGCAAACCCCAACATAAACGCTCGCCTCATTCCCCAGCCTGAACACACTTCAGCAGTCTTACATCACTGACACTGTAGCTGAAACCAGATCAGGTGTTTATAAAGCTTAATGCTTAAGTTTCATTGGTGCTCTATTTTCCACTTTTCAATGAATGAATTCTCTACCTTTGTTCTCACCACATGGGTTTAAATAATGTAGATGATTCCATAACGCTGCCTGCATGCCTTATGGAAACTGCATTTTGTCCCTGTTCAAAGCTAAGAATTAAGAACAGGCTCAAAATAAGGGCTCGGAACAGAGGAAAACAGCACAATATTTTGATCAGTCTGCTTTTCTGTTGGTATGGCAAGATAAAAGTGCCAATATTAATGAAAATAATTGTGACTAATGCAGCCAAAAAGACAACCGTGAAATCATCTGCCATGTTACAATGGTAACCCATCATGAGAAACACCTTAATTATAGCTATTATCTCTTTGAATGGCTGGGTAACCCTTACATTAATCTGATTTGAAACAGAACGTTGCCATTATGTAGTGAAACATTAAACCGGGCATTGCTGGGTAATTACATGGGGTAGGACAACTATGACTGTCATTTTTGCATGATGGCTATCCTGACTGACAAGGAAAAGACCCCAGTTTTTGGCTGTTAGTTGCACTTACATTTTCATTAATCCCACAGGGAACTGCCTCCTAAGTCAAGAACACTTGCACTTGGGAAAAGGAGGAAAAAAACAGTGCCAGTTACAACCATTACAAGAGAAAATGAAGGAATCTTACGTCTAGCAAAAAGGGATGCTTGCTGAGAGCTTCTGCTCAGTTCCAGAGGTAGAAGCCAAATCTGATATTCTCTCAAAAAGCTTTTCTTTGCTCTGTTGCAGTACGGGAAAGATTGCATGGGCAATGGGAGAAACAGAGCAGATGTCTCTCCCCAAGAAAACTGGTTGGCACCATGGCACACTCAACACTGGTAAACAGCAGCACCTCGTAGCCCCAGCCTGCTGACAAGGAAGTTTCCCTGCTAACTGATCTCAGATATATCAATCTTTGGTGCCAAATGTAATCTGGCACCAAACCTTCAATCCTTTGGCAGGGGTGTGCTCCCCAGGGGATGCAACTGACGTGCTAGCTGGCTGCCAGAGGATTCTGTGCCAACGGTGGCCAGAGGAAAGGAAAAACATAACAATTAAGATTTGCTTTCTTTTTTTTCTTTTTTTTTTTTTTTTTTTTTTTTTTTTTTTTTTTTCCATCTGGCATCTCTTTATATGATTTGTTCAAGGAAAAAATGAATTCATTTGGATTTGGTAGAGTCACCACATACCTCATTTTGGCCCATAAAACCTATTATTATCAGGTAACACAGCCTGGATCATCAACATCTGCCCCAGACTTGGTTTGGTGTCCCTGCTCTGCCCTGCACTGCGACTGTCTTGGTTTGGAAATGTACTTTCAAGGAGTATATTTAAAATAATGGTCATCAAGTTTCCAAATAAAGGAGAGATGAAGCTGCTTTCTCCAGGGCTATTTCCCACGCTCAGAGTGAGAGCCGCCTGCTGCAGAGCACACCCCAGCCTGCCTCTTTGAGATCCTTCTGCAGCAAAAGAGGAAAACAAAGCCAGGGAAAGGAACACAAGGCAGCTACGGGTGGGCAGCAATAAATTAATGCTATTAAGGGATGCACAGGACTGAAGCCCTAAAATAATTTTCAAGCCAGAAAAGGTCTCTATCAGAATTTGTACCAACTCTACATGTTTCTGTCTATGTAAAACTATCAACACCATAGCTTAAAGTGAGAAAAATGGGTCACAGCTAATCTGAAAGAACCAAAGTTTTAACGTGGCTGTGGAG